AAGTTGTACAAAATTTATCAGAACTACAAACATTTACAAAATATTTTTAAATTAAATACTTATAGGGCTATTGAGCTTGAATGATCTTGGATAAATTTATACGCCTAAAATGTTATGAATTTTTAAGTATAACTACCTACTTTAAATTGATCTCGATTTGTTTTTTGCACATTATGTGCACGATTACGAATTTGATTTGTGTAAGTACGTTGAAATTATTATCTCAGTTCTATTAGATATATTTAATTTTGTGCCTCARACTCTTAGATACAACCAGACCTATAAGACACAAAAAAAATCATTACAACAACAACCATTGTTTTCGTCATATTTTATTTATACATATTGTGCACCAGAAGGAAATTGAATATAATTTAATTTAACACTATCATATACATTAACAATCTATAATAATCTAATCTAAATCATTGACTACATGATAAGACCCACTGATATTTACTCCAGTCTTCCTTAATGTTTATCTCTTGTTGTAATTGTTCATTGTTTCTATTACAATTTTCAATTACAGCTAACCACCACGCATCATTATTTCTTACGCTCCCTGAAAAAAAATAAACGTACAATTTTATTATTATTATAAGCACGAGTGATGATTAAACTAAAAACAAAACAATGACAATATCTTAATTGTGACATTTCGTGCATTTGTGATCGACTGTATAAACAAAATTATATTGTTAAGGTTGCAGTGACTACACCTTAGATAATATAAGAATATAATACAAGATATTATAAAATATGTACCTATGTATGTTTTATGTATATGTATAAATGTATGTATATTGTATATATATATACACATGTATGTATCTGATATACTGTTTAGTGTTTACACTCTGTCACAATGCAAATAATATCTAGAATAGATATTATTATTTCCGTTTATTATACATTTAAAAGAGATGAATTTAAGACTTTCTCGTGGGGGTATCGTATATACATGTATATACATTAATACGATATGCTTTAAGACTATTTATTATTAAAGAGTTAAGATTTTTTTTTTTATAAAATACGATGTAATTTCCTAGCAGGATATGAAAATCTTAGCGATCTATGTTTGAAGAAGTAAATATAAGTTAATGCGATACCCTTCCCCCATCAAAGCCATAATCATACTTCTTGGATGCATTAAACTTGATTTCCAAATTCCGGTTTATAAAATACAAATATAAGTGAAAAATAATATACCATATAGCTACTCAAATCAATAAGTAGTGTATTAAAGTATTATAGAACATAATTCGTACACTGATTAAATAGAAATGGTACAAATGATGAACGTCTCCGTCCGTTATTATTATACTATTAAAGAATATATTACTACATATGAAAAAAAGCTTTTGCTTCATCGTTTGCGTGCAATCAAACTATAAATATTAACATATTATTTTAGTAATTTATATAACTAATTGTAAAATGAACACATTTCGTTATGTCAGTATGTTTGTGTATACTGTAAGGATTCGTATTATTTTTTCATTAACATAATAATATAAYTACATAGTCTACGACTACTGAAGAGTAAATTGGTATAATATATTACGTAGTTTTTCAGGTGCAGTCGACTGTTGTGTAGTAAAGAGTTGCGATGCAGAGTAGTAATTGCTGCAGCAATCGTTGTCGTTGGCGGCTTCTTCGAACATTCGTCTGCACTGTCCGTCGTAGCCGACCACCGAACGCTGTTGATCCTGCCCGAATCGGTCGCCGACAAACGTCGGCACTCCGATGATGGACCGAYGCGATCGCGAGACATCCTCCAACTTTTGTGGGCACGCTAAGATCGCCATGCCCTGCAACAGCGCCAAGACAGCTGCAGTGGGTCGGCGCATAATCGTGAAGTCGGTGCGGCGACCACCCTGTAGTCCTGGATCGGATGGCCGCTGTGGTCGTGTGCGACGATAAAAAGAAATTTACGCCAAGACAAAATGTCTACCACCGTTGTAGTTCGCTTGGAAAATAACGACGGTGTTCACATTATTATTTAAAAATAATATTATTATATGATGAATATTGTAAATTATTTTGTGTGCGTAGTTAGCCGCGCGAGTCGTCTCCAAATCTTCAGCGCAATTCTCTCGTAATTAAACTCGTTTTCACCGGCGGCGCCGTGGAAAAGATTGACCGCGGAAACGCTGCGATGACAAATTATATGACACTGAATAGTAATAACAATAGAATAATATAAATAGTATATAATGTTATCRTCATCGGATTCTCCAACCTACGTCTACGCACGTAAAAAATATAAGACGTGTATCGCCGCTGGGCTTGTACCAGCCGTCTGTAATGCGACTGTAATATCAGGTACATGATATTAAATTCATAGTTCTATAGAATCTAGTACAACATAAATTATAATCATTGACATTTTTTACATACTCTATTTTCCTTTCAACTCGGAAACGACCCGTATAGGCTTCAATTAGAAAGTTATAGGTAATTTTTTAAAAAT